TTGGAGATCATACACTTATCTGCATCGGTCGCTTGCTTAGAAGTGTTTTAGGATGGTGTTGACTGCTAGTATAAACTACTTGGGGCTGAGTTTGCATAGACACTTGAGACTTTGGTACGCGTAGGTAGTGAAACTGACTCGCATAAACCGGAGATCTAAGGTGTCAGGACGGTACTGGTTTTGTTAGAACTGTTGTTTCCTTGGAGTTTCAAAACTTGTTTTGAACTCGGGTGCATTCTCGTGATGCTTTTGCTTTTGAGGAACGAATGAAAGTTTTTGTTTACATTGAATAATGTGGGGATGTTTGCGTAACGGGAAAAAGTATATATAAACGAGCTTTATTTGCTAAAAATAGAAAATGTTTAAATAGAAATTACGAAATTCAGAGTACAGTGGAATGGAAATAAAGGCTCCGCTCCCACACTATCTCAATTAGTGTCTCCACTGATTTTTGAAGCATGCGAGAGGGATATACAACTGAAATGAAAGTACAAATAACTGAAATATAGTAAACAAATAAGGAAAAATGGAAAACGAATCACGTCCGCGCTGGCGTCCTCTGGCTCTGGCGAGGGCTACTCTGTCCTCGTAACTCATAGCTCCTGTGTGGTAGACGGTGTCCCGGAGTCCTTCGACCTGCAAGGTCAGATTTTCCAGGTTCTCAGTGATGGTAGCTTGGCCGGTTTGAAGTTGTTGCATTTGAGTCCGGTGCCAAGCTTCGAACTGGTCAGCTCGCTGATTCTGCTACTGCAGCATCGCGAGTATCTGTGCCTGCTGGTCTAGAGAGCGGCGGAGGTCCTCTTCTGTGTAGTCTGGTACTGGATGATGGCGGCGGCGGCGAGAGGAAGTACCTTCTGGAGGAGGAGGCTGCGATGCCTCTGGCTGCTCGGACCTGTCCAACTCAGCTTGGATTTCATCGTCAGAACCTTGAGTGTGGTCCTGAGTAGGAACAGCGGCAGCAGGAGGGGCAGTGAGGTCAAATAACCAGTTGGTACGATCCTCTGGGGTGTGCGAGTGCGGGACGGAAGGATGATGCTTCGGACGATCTTGCCACGCACTACCGGATGGTACTTGCCGTCAGCTCTGGAGCGGATAAGATGAGAGGCTCTGCAGTGGTCGGTGTCCAGGAACACCGAGGGGATGGAATGGAGGTGCTGGAGGCGGTCGCCAAGGTTCAGCCCAAGTGCAATGGCGGTGACAATCCCGCCAAAGTAGAATGGCTTCGAGCCACGGTTGCAATTGGCCTGAATGTGAGCCAGCAGAAACAGAGCGGCGTTGACAGGCTCGTTGTTGAAGACGCAATGGAGGAAGAAGAGCTCTTTCAAGTTCACCTTGTGGTTGCTGTCTCTGGCGAAGATTGTGTTGCTCAACGCTCTGTGAAAGTATCGGATGGCTGGGTTATGGATATGAGTGGCGTGCAGAGAGTCCCAACCATCGGCATTGATGCCGGTCAACTGATACCACAGCGCGAAAGCTTCATGCTGGAACTGATCGGTGATGCGGCGGTGGGCATTGTCGCCACGAGGTAGCTGTAGGAAGCCGGCAATCTGGTTTTGGTGCAGCTGATAGTTTGTGCCGAACATCCGGAAGCATGCGGCACCTGAGTGCTGGCTAAGTTCACCGCTGGATGTTGCGTAAGTAAACGAACTCAAGAACTCGAGAGTGAGTTGTTCGTATATTGGCAGTGGGTTGGTGCAGAGGTTCCAGATGCCTGCTCTTTGAAGCATCCAGGTTACGCCGTCAAGGAGTCCGTGCTCCGTAAGCGAAGGAATGTGTGGATAATGAGTCGGCTGGAGCGACCTCTGATGGAATGCGATGTAGTTTGCTCGCTGTCTTTCGCCTAAGTCACCTTCACTGAAGATAATGTTGCTGATATCTGGGGTTTCTGCATTTCTTGCCATTGTTGGAAGATTGAGAGGTTTCTACAGATTGGGGTTTTTCTGCAGAGTGGGAAGAACTGACAGAAGTGTGGTTTGGAAGTTGAGATAGGAGTTGAAATATATGGTGCAATGTGGGGAGGACGAAAATTTGTAGTGGGGTAGGAGTTCTGATGATTGGAAGTGGTAATGGGGGTAGTGGGAAAGAACACGCACCCTGTTATATCAGATAGCAGTTTTTGAATTCGTGACGGTCGTCACGTATGTGTGATGGTCGTCACCCGCGTGACGCTCGTCAGGGTCCTGTGACGGTCGTCACAACAGCAAAATCTGCAGAACGCAGAATTTTGCTCTGAGGGCGTTCTCGTAGTGACTTTAAGGCTTAGTATTGATACGACAATGTAATATAGCAGCCAACAAACAACGAATAATGCGAAAACAGAATAATTGAATAAGAACTAGAATTGAAATAACATAAAATTGAAATGATTGTATGTAGTACATAAAGAAAACTAACAATGCGAAAAATCCAAATGATTAAATGAAACTAAACTAGACTAAACTAAACTGAAACTACTGCTAAGAACTAGTATCTAGTCTTTTCGTGTCTTCAACTCATCGAATTTCCGTGTGTAGTAGTCGAGTTGGTCGCAGACTAAATCCATGAAGCCTACCAGTTCGCTGTGCATGCCTGCGATGTCAGCTTTTACATTAGTCAGAGTTGTATCAACGTCGTCCAATCGGAGTAAAACGGTATCCATTTTATCGGTGGTCTCCTCAGGGATAGGCTCAGGATAGGTGTTGTAGTGCGGAGGAGTCGTAGGGTCTACTTCAGCTTCGGATACAGCATCCTCATAGTACATATAGTCGTGTGCCTCAGAGATGTGGTCACTGTCATACATATAGTTCTGTGGTGTTGACTGTGGTGAAGGAGGTCCCATAGGCTCATCCAATTCATAGAGCCAGTTGTCCTTGTTGTGGATACTTGTCATCAGATGATCAGGCAGTGTGAATAGCTGTACTGGTTTTTCGTTAATGAGGTACTCATACGGTCCAGGTCCCATAGTTCCTAAAATGCGCCTGTTAAAGCAGAATTGTATGTTCATGGGTCGGATGGTGCCAAAACGAGTGCTTGCATTTAAGTGGAATCTAAGGCCAAGCTCGTGGGCAATCATTGTCACGAGGCCTCCTATAAGGATAGGTGTCTGAGGTTCCTGCGTGAGGCGTTTGAAAGATCTCATCATGAAAGGCACTGCATTTACTGTACGTCCCTGAGAAGCACAGAACATGATGAATAACTCCTCTTTAGATACTGTCGTAATATTTTCTTCTTTTCCAAACAAGGTGTGAGCTAGTATCTTATGGAAGTATCTGAAAGCTGGGTTATGAATATCATCATTGTACATTCTGTCTGGTTCAGGGTGATAGTCGCCTGTGATTCTACCCCAGAATTGGTCGAGTTGAAAATCAATATCGTCATCTTCTGCACTGATGAACACATGCGGTCCGCTAGGAAATCCTAGGAGGTTAGCTAGTGACATTCGGCTATGGGTTTGGTCCATTCCAAACATTCGGAAGGTAATCAGCTCTGTGTTGGATCCAAAACCATAGTTGGGTATGTATCTGAAAGAACTAAGGAATTCATAGGTAAGATCCTTATAGGTAGCAAAACGTGTTTTCAGAGCAGTGTTCTCCCAACCCAGTTGATTGAACAGGTATTGAATGCTATCTGTGATTCCTAGTTTATCCATGGTAGCCTTATCATAATACAGAGTTAAGGCGAATTCTCTTTCAGCTAGTGCTGCAAATCGTGCCTTTTGAGCTAGTCCTCGGAAGTGAACCTTTGTGAAGTCGTACTCGGCCATACTCGCAGGTGTCATACCCCAAATTTGTCCTACCCTGTGTATAACTTGCATTTGTATATCCATTCATCCACTATTATCCAGAAAATCAAAAGAATATGTTGCGTCCATCATAAGATTGAGTTGAATTGGATCAGGCTTTGCTTGAGGTTCATTAAGTCAAGAATAAGTGCAGTTTATGCTGAAGTCCATTGGTTCTTACTTAATTGGCTAGTCAGACGAGGAAAAAGGTTTTGTGAGGTTATTGGACCGATATAGGGGATTTAAATTGTTGTGGTAAAGGATCCAATGCAGAAGATGATCAAGTTATTTCTTTGAGTCAAGCCATGGTTGAATTTGTGTTAGGTTGGTTTTAAGCTATGAGATCAAATCGTTCAAAGTATAACTAACTCGTGTTCAAGCCAAATAATCAAGATTCGTTTCAAGTTTTTTTAAACTTTGTGATTAAAATGTCGAGTTAGTATTAGAAGATCGAGCAAGGGTGCAAATGATGCATTTAGATTGCAAAATGGCCCATTTAAGATTAAAGGTGTTAATAACAAATCAAAAGGTCCATTGTCCATGATTGAAAGGCCCATTATCATTTAGAATGGCAAAAGTGCTACACAAAAATAAGGAAAACCAATGCCAAGTTATATGTTTTTCACATGTACATTTGCACCAACAAAAAATAAAAGCCCATTCCAATATATTTACCAATTTCAAGGGGGTTAATTTTAATTAGGAAGGTTTATGTTCTTGTACATAACTTTTCTATTATTATTATTACAAAAATAATAAAATAGGCCTGTTACAAGCATGATTCTACATATGGATATCAGGTCACAATGTTCTTATGTTGTATGCTATGAGAAACTTCATGCATCCACCGGTACCACAACTTGCTGAAAAAATGAAAAGGAAGACATAACTCAGACAAGCAACTCTCAAGGCAAATAAACCAATCTAACATTTGATCGATTAATAAATAATCTTCGGACCGATTCGGCTTTTTCCCATAATACCATCTTTTCGGTGGTAACACAAACATGAAACACTTTTGGGGCAATCCAGATGCAAGTCTTGATGTAATTTGGGTGGAGAAAGCTGCAACATTTGTTAATAGGGAATTGTACATTCCTTCCAAGTTGAGCATATTAAAATTTCTCCAAGCTGTCTTCAAATCACTTGGCAAACAAATTCTAAATTGTGATGGGGTTTAGTGTACATAATTTATAAGGCACATTTGTTCATACATGACATCCCTTTCAAGAGTGCATGTCTATGTCGACCACAACGAGGAGAGGGACTTTCCCTTTTGACATTCTGTGACACAAGCAAGTACAATCTCTTGCAACTGTTTCTCCACATCGTCTATGGGTTGGCAAGCGTCTACAACCTGCATCAAGCCGGTGGAAATACAAAGGCAAACGAGAACAAGAAAAATGTTTAGCACAATGCAGTAAAATACTAAAATAGCAACAAGACAGAAATGTGGAGATTATAGAAACAAAAAAAAAGTGATTGTAGAAAAGATGATTATCACTTTGCCAGACAGACATATGACAACAAAATACAGTATTAGTAACAGAACTGCCAATTTAAGGAAGAAATGCCAGAAAAAACAGTTCATTACCTTCCAGGAGGCATCATGAAGAACTTCGTAATGTTCAGCAACTTTCTTCTGAAAGTCCAGCTTTTCATATCTCTCATCACCATACCCTCCTCTTTCTGCAGCTTTCTGATATAAATGTGCAAAGAACATAAATAAGTAAATCAGGGAATTATGCCCGAACCAAGCTCAAACAAGCTAGCCAATCGATAGTGAAAAAATCAGAAGATCAAGGTCGACGAGTTTTGGCAACAAGAGAGCAGAACTCATTTAACTTCTGTATATAGAGGGAGCAAAATTTTAGATCCCAACAGCATTGAACATAAAGGGAGCAAAGAAATGACAGAAAATAAGTACGGTTGAGTACAGAAACATATTAATCGATTCCCTGTGATGCTTCTTTGCCTCTACTCATCCTATGCAGTAGTAGCTCATATGATGAAAGGTCCTCTTCTGTTATAATCAATGAGCTGGGTCTTCGAGGCATTGATAACTTATGAGTCAATAGCCAATCTTGCTCAACCTTGTGCATTGCTGCTGTAAAAAAAATAGAGAAAGTTCAAAATACCATCCTTATGTAAGTCAGAAATATCACAAGCAGTGAAAAGTCATATTTTAAACAGTAAAAAACTTAGGAAAATAGGTATTTTGTTACCTCACTACAGACAAAAAGATAGGCTTGAGTTTTCTTTATTCCCCACATCACACCACGTTCTGACAAGGGACAACCATAGCAGCCAGCAATACATCGTACTACAGAGCAGAGCAGAGCCTCAATTCTTCACATTTCTCTCCATATAAAACTATGTTAGAGGTTGTAGCAAAAAAACCCTAATCTGAGAGCAGCCTCCAAACCCTAAGGTTCAAACCTCTTCACCTCCTTCCAAAAGCCCTTCACTCAGCCCTAATCGAGTGAACGAAACCTTCATCCACTCCAAATCAACCTCTTCCCTCAGAATCATCTTCTTCAATCTTATTTCAACAGCTTTTCTGACCGCCCATGAACAAACCCGTCAACCAGCTTGTGATACCTCATCATCAACAAACAACAACAACAGAACTTTTTTTGAAAAAAGTTTCTCATCACTTCAAGAACCAGAATCGAAAAACTCATCACCCTTCTGCAATCATTAAGCCGTGAAAATCCAACTTCGAAACTCTCTGAATCCTACTCATCCGTTAACCCAGAGCTTCACACAAAATACGTTTCATTATCGCCCTCCAGCTACCCATCCGACCAAATACCCTGTCCCCAACTTTATTGAACCTTCAATCAAAAAACCCATGGAAATCTGAAAAAAAAAAGAACTGACTCAAAATCATAAACCCATATCCAGAAATAACAAACAGAATAGAGAGATTGGAGATGAAAAGAGTTTAAAAAATGAGCGAATGCTTCAACGCCAGAATAAGCGAGATCGGAGCGAAACGATTGAGAGCAAGACAAAAACAAACCTGATACAAAGTGAATCGAAGCCAACAAACGATGTCGAAATCAGGGGATATCTTCGTTTAAGGTCGAGACAAGACTTCTTCGATCTGGTTTTATTTTTGATGACGATTATTCGATTTTTGATGATGGAAGTGTTCCTTTGTTGATGACATTCCTCGTGATGCACCACCGCCGGAAGTTCCTCTATAGAGCTTCCCCTCTTTTTTTCTTTTTTTCGTCTTAATATGCCTTGTTTTATTTTTTATCTGATTTTCACTTTTTTTTTTTCTTTTTTTATTATTATTATTATTTCATTTTGTTTCCTTTTAAAAATGGTTGTGTTGTGTAGACTTTGCACCCACCGTTTCATGTTGGAGGTGATGGACCTGTTGGCCCATAGGATCCTCACTTCTTTCATTTCCAGTCCCCGTTCACCATCGTATACCCCTCTCTCTTTTATTTTCATAAAAAAACATATTTTATAATATGTAGTTTTTGTTTTTTTATTATTTATATATTACTTTTTTTCAAACAGATTCATTAATATGTATATATTAGAGTTTTTTATGCTTTCTTAGAAGTTAGATTTTGGTTGGGTATTTTATTTCACTTTTCTCTTTTTGTGGTCGATGACGACACTTCCGTAAACCGTCATTAAGTCAAACTACTGATAAATGACGTTGGATCTGAGACCACCTATTTTCTCTCTTCGTCACCTGTCCCGCCTCGATTCAAAACATTGTTAAACAATTTTCACAATCAAATTTCTTTGTATTGAATTAAAAAGAGGGGATTAAGTGTAGACTTTCTTCCTCTCTGAGTGTTGGGATGCCCACTGTAGTGCGGGTGGTCCTGACACTCATCTTTCAGTACGAAGACGTTTCCCGTCCATCTTCAAATCCCATCTCCTTAAAATCGATTCTTTGTGTTGAGCTAAAGAGAGGATTGGGTGTAGACCTCTTCTTCTTCGAGCATAGGGATGCCCACTGTAGTGAGGGTGATCTCGACGTTCGTCTGTCAATACAAAGACGCTTCCGACATCTCCTCATAAAAACCTCGGTCTCGTACCGAGTCCTTTTTCAAACCATAATAATTTGATTTCTCTTTGTACCGAATTAAAAGAGGGGATTAAGTGTAGACTTTCTTCCTCTCCGAGTGTTGGGATGCCCACTGTAGTGAGGGTGGTCTCGATACTCGTATTTCGAGACGAAGACGTAACTTTATCCATCACATATCTCCTTATCCACCATCTCGCTTCCACATTCCTTCCGTACCCCTTTTCACTTAAAAACCTCGGTCCTGTACCGAGTGCCTTTTCAAATCTTTTCACAACAAAAACTTGAATGGTCGTGGAGTGGTTAGGCGTAGGCCTTCTCCTATCCCGAGTGCTGACGTTTACCGTAGGGATCTCTGTCGCAAAGCACTTACCATTCAAAACCTAAATCATCTTTAATTAGAGGATGAAGTTCTCTTTGCATTGAATTAAAGAGAGAGGATTGGGTGTAGACCTCTTCTTCTCCGAGCGTAGGGATGCCCACTGTAGTGAGGGTGGTTTCGACGCTCGTCTTTCAATACGAAGATGCCTCGTTCGCGACACCTTTTTATAACCGAAAACTTTGAGATAACGAATTGGGTACTACCCGTAGGGGTTACTATCTGAGGACTTGTCTCGCCCCTAAAAAACAATCCAATCAATCAAATGCGACTTCTAGCCCCGCGTGGCGAAAACTAATCAATCTTTCAAAAAGGATATGTTACGTCCGTTCTACCGCAAACAGGTAATGCCTAAGTCTCCAACGAGCGAGCAGCAAAACACCTAACTGCTAGAATGCGCACGATAGCATCATCCATAAAAACATCAACACACCGTAGGCCGAACTACGGCTGCTCTGATTCTTTACTTTTTCAAGTAAAGATACGTAGGCACAAGGGCCACAATCCTTGCCGAGCACATATTCACCCCATATCTGTAGTTCCCCGAACTACGTCGACTCTGACTTTCTCACATCTATTGAGAATACGTAGGCATAGGACTGCGAAGTCCTACCGAGTCTGTTCTTTCTATTTTCTTCCCCGTTCTCTCTTTCCTCCTAATTTTCCTGTTTCTGACCCTTATCTTTTACCCTGTGAAACACTTTTATAGCATAATGTTTAAGCAAATAGATTCACATCGACAAACAAAAGGTTCCCATCGAGTACGATGGATGCGGGGGGTGCTAATACCTTCCCCTCGCATAACCGGCTTCCGAATCCATTCTTGGTTGCGAGACCATCTTATCCATTTCTTTCTTAAGGTTTTCTCGATATTTTCCTTTCCCCTCATGGGATAAATAAAGTTCGGTGGCGACTCTTCTGTCTATCTTTTTCGCCTTCCCGTCGTTGCGCGACGCATTTTTCGAGTAGCGACAGCTGGCGACTCTGCTGGGGATCTCCTAGCGAGCCAAGCCTATTTTGTTTGTCGTGTTTATGATTTTATTTGCTTTATTTGTTTATGCTTTGATTCTCTAACCTGTTGGGTTTATTGGATGGTTTGTGAGATAAAGCTTTCTACCCGAGCTTTCAAGTACACACTAAGATAGGAGGTGGGTTCTTTCTGATTTGCGAGACTTAGGACTCGTTGAGTTGGATCGAATTCCATCGCTCAGATGAGACCCCGTTGGAATGATTATGTCTTACGTGTAGTCGTAATGACGTCTTTATTTCTGATGTGGGAGTCCGCGACTCTGAGGACCTTTGTAGAACCTTATTCCAAAGGTTGCTAAGACATGACTCTGTGTTCATCCTTTGAAGGGATTACCGTCTTACGAGTAGTCGTTACGATGGAAAACTTTCGAGGGTTAGTACATAGGACTTTGTTTAAAAGCCTTTGGGATACCCTCTTACAAACCAATAGATAACCTACCCAATGGGAGAAAATATTTTGTGTTGCTTTTTGCAGGACCTATGACTTTGATCTCGCTATTGTTCCTTCATCATGTGCTCATTACATTACATTTACATAAGCATCTCTGCATCATTTTTTGCATTCCTTACAACCCGATCTTACACGCCGCTTACCCTTTCAGAAAGAGTAAAGCAAGCTGACTTCGCGACATCGGTATAATACAAGGAATAATCAGAGAAGAATCATGGACCAGATAGAACAAGACCAGGCTACTATGAGGAGCGAGATGCTAGGCATGAAGACGCAGATGAATCAACTCATGGAGGTGATTCAGAATATGGCCAGGAGTCAAGAGGAGATGAGACAAGCAGCAGAGAGGAGCGCTAATCAGACTTTGGCTGGTGCAGTTCCCAATTCAAGTGGTGCAATTCCAATTCCTGTTGATGCCACCCCAACCCCTGTTGGGGCAATTCCTACTTCTGCGGGTGCCATACCTGTCAACACCGTCCATCCACCAGTCGGTACTACTCATCCTCATGGTACTACGATCCCAACACAAGCCCAGTACGACGATCATGAAGGTTTCTATGAGAATTCGGGTGACGCGTATGGACCACAGACCGCCGAATTAGAGAAGAAGTTTAATGCTTTACAGGAGATGGTGAAGACATTGCAAGGCCCCGATGTTTTGGGACTGGATGCCGCTGAAATATGTCTTGTACCCGGAGTTAAGATACCTCCAAAGTTTGTAATTCCAACCTTTGAGAAGTACAAGGGTAACAGTTGTCCTAAGACCCACATAAGGTCTTACTGTAGGAAGATGGCCGCCTATTCTGA